ATGATCCGAAACTTCGCGCAGAGCAGGCATCAGCAATTCCAACATCACTGCGCAACACGGCAAGCTCACAGCGAAAGGGCCGCTGGGTAATTTGATTATGAACTTCCGCAGCGAGTGAAATCCCGAAGCGGGCTGGCCTTTGTCAGGATGGAGCTTGCGCCACTTGGCTTCGGAGCCTCTGAATTTCGGACTGCAACAAGGGGAACCCAACTACGTAAGAAAGGCACTGTGAGCTGTTCTTTTCCCCTGCAATGCCCACTGTGCCCCCGTGCTATGCCTGGCCTGACCACGCCACCTTTGCAAGCATGCGGAGCAACCCCGTGACACTGGCGCACGGGCAGCCGCCTCTCAGTGGGCCTCAACCACCTCACCGTTGGACATGGCGAAATGTCGGAAGCCCTTCAGCGAGCCGGAGCTTAACGTTTAACCTGTAAAGCTAGAGCCCCACGCGAAATCTCAGATGACTCAGGCTCCCTCCTGCTCCGGCAAGCCGAGCGCGGTGCTGATCAGTGCCTCTTTTGGCCGATACGACAGAAGGTTTGTTTTCATGTGATGTCCCTCACCTTGATAATTGCTCCATGGGCAACCACCAACGACGCTTCTCCTCTGCTGGGCGCCACCTGGATGCTACAATGCGCGAGCTTTTTCTGCACACGATTCATGATGATGACAGAAGAAGTATGTGCTAAACATGAAACCCTGTGCAGGCCTGCCGCATCCGACGCCAGGCCTCGGTGGAACGGCGCCAAAGGTCGCGCACCACATAACCTCGCCAAGGTCAAGGATGGTCAGGGGATGGAACCGGTCGACAAAAAGGGCCTAGGCCCCTAGGCCTAGACCTGAATCTCAAGCGAATCACGGCCACTGACCTGGAGGTTCCAAGTTTCCTCCTGCCATCGGACATTTGCCCCCCCCCCCCCCCTGCGCAACTTGCCTGCGAGCAGCTACAAAAATTGACTAACTGCTGTTGCTGTAGTCCTTCCACAATCTCATGAGTTCCGGATCCTCTGCCCGGATCTCGTCCTGCGTTCGGCCCTGCCACCTCCCAGTGCAGACATCGCAGGCTGCAGGTCAACAGAAGGTCCTGAAATGCCACATTCACCAAGGTTCTGGCTCGTAGAGGTCAATCTCGCGCAGCTCGGACAGCTTGGTCTCCGTGGGTGGCAGCACCTCGCCTGCGGCTGAGAGGACATCTGCATGAGGCTTTGATCAGCGCAAGCCATGCTGCAGCAGCTGTGCATTGCCGCTCCTGCAACAGTCCTGGCCACTTCCAGAGTCTGCCGCGCTCGCAGCAGCGGCGAAACGAACACGGCTGCAACCGGATTTCCCTCAGCTGCAGCTGCCCAGACGAAGCCCGCGCAGTCTGTGAACCCTACAAGTAGGCTTGCCTTCAGCCACTGGCCCAGCTCCTCTGCCTGGGAGATGCCCTTGCCAGTGAGAACGGAGTCCTCATCCATCGAGCCTCACACCAAAGGCCAGTACATAAATAAGTACATACCCGCAGCAGGCGAAAATTCACCTCTGGAGCTGCCTTGAAATCGCTTCTCTGCATTGAAGGTCGTTTGCCCATGCCGGACAAGCAGGAAACGCTGCTCACCTGTGGACAACACGCCTTGTCGAGGCTTATGCTTGGAGGTTCATGGGTAGTTATAAGTAGGGTGATAAGCCCCTAAACGGGAGTTATCAATACCCACTTATAACTACCCATGAACCTCCAAGTGGTCTTCTCTTCTTGCAATCAAGCCCACGGACCAATTCGGAGGCGAGCGGCTGAAAGCCGAGTGCCAGCCGAGAGAAGCTGCTACCAGGCACAGAGCACCCCTCCCTCCGCGACCGCGCAGGGGCTCTCGTCCGGCCATCGGCACCGTATCTTCGGGACTGCTGGATGCTGCGTTTCGTGGTCGTGGTAGCGAAGCGGATATTCAAGTGTGTTGTTCCGACACAGTTCCGACACATGAAGTTAAAGCCGCATGGCTGCGGCGAGGCCCATCACCCAATGCTTCCGAGTACTGTCCTGACTCTCACACCGCATGCAAAGCAACCGCCCAACTGAGCTCGCACACCTCTGGGCTGAGATAGCACGGTGTTCCCACCATTGTTGTCACGAGTTCCATCGAGTGCGTCAGAGGTCGGCTGACGCCGAAGTCTCCGATTGACACCGACTCCTGTTCATGGCTCGTGCTTAAAGCTCCTTTAAGCCCACAGCCCGCTCTGCAAAGGTGTGCTGTCCTCCTCATGAATGTAGTGGGCACTGCCAGCACTTCTGCCGGAAAGGAAGATATTGGAGGGCTTCAAGTCACGGTGCAAAACCTCGGAGCGGAGTTGAAATTGTAGTTGTAATTGCTGCTGCAGTTGTGGTTGCAGTAGTAGTAGTAGTAGTAGTAGTAGTAGTAGTAGTAGTAGTAGTAGTAGTAGTAGTAGTAGTAGTAGTAGGTAAAAGTAGTAGTAGTAAAGTAGTAGTAGTAAAGTAGTAGTAAAAGTAGTAGTACAAGTAGTAGTAAAAGTAGTAGTAAAAGTAGTAGTAAAAGTAGTAGTAGTAGTAGTAGTAGTAGTAGTAGTAGTAGTAGTAGTAGTAGTAGTAGTAGTAGTAGTAGTAGTAGTAGTAGTAGTGGTGTAGTAGTGTAGTAGTAGCAGTAACAGTAACAGTAGCAGTAGCAGTGGCAGTAGCAGTAGGAGTAGGAGTAGGAGTAGGAGTAGTAGTAGTAGTAGCAGTATAGTAGTAGTGGTAGTATATTTGTGGTAGGAGTTAGGTAGGTGGGCAGGTAGGCAGGTAGGTGGTAGGTGCTAGGTAGTAGGTCGTAGGTAGTAGGTAATAGGCAGTAGGTTGTAGGTAGTAGTAGTCGTCGGTTGTGGTTGTAGTAGCAGTAGTAGTCGTATTAATAGCTGTTGTTGTCATCGTCCTCTTTGTCGTCGGCGGCGTAGTGGCGCTGGTAGTCGTCGTAGTAATGGCTGTGGCAGTAGCAGTGGTGGAGGGAGGAGGGGCAGCACCCACTCACCCCACCCCAGAGCCATTGACAAAACTGGCGGCTCCATTCATGTTGTAACGGTTTCAATGTCATCAACTTCTCCATGGCTTGTCCATGTTCCATTCAACGACATGACCCTGCGACGGCCCCGCAGCTTTCAACAGTGACATTCAGAGACAGAACGAGATCACGTGATCTCCTAGAACCTGAATAAGAGCAACAGCCACCAAAACTATGACAATAACACACATTGATCCCTATACTTCACACCACGACCATCCACTCTAAGACACTCTACGACCCTCATGAGAGCAGTCTACTCTAATCCTTCCCGGGGCCCTGCCTGATGCTGATGCACGTAGGCCAGAGCGCTACAGAGCTCGTCGAACCAACGCAGCGCCGGCTGCTCGGAGAGCCGCCGACACTCCTCGCGCCCGAGTTCCCAACAGAGGCCATAACCACTTAATTTCACTTAATCACTCAAAGAAAGAAGCATCTGCAACCGTTCCGTGGCTTCGCAACAAGCTACCAAGGGAAGTCGTTGCGAGCCTGGCGCACCTTTTGCAGTCTGTGCTGTAGGTCGCCTCCTGTCCACACATTCAGGGAAGCGTGTCGCAGTATGCAGCAACAAACTTGAGAAGGCCCACATATACACAAAAAAGGACAGAAAAAGTGAGGCGACGGCCTCACCGGCTGGACAGCAACGCAACACTCAGGAAACTTCAAGGGCCTTCGCAGAAGGCCATTAGCAGGCAGAGTGTGCCGCCGGTAGAATCCCGTGAGTTGTCAACGAAGGCCCCCAAGAATTCCACCTCAGCCAAAGCAGGTGCGGTGCGATGCAAATAGGGCACTGATCAGGATCACCATGCTGGAATAGGCACCATGGTGGGGCCCTTGCGATGTGCGGATGTCGTAACTTCTGCAGAACTTGTGCTTCTCTGGCCGCGCTCTCAGCTGCGGCGGCAGCGTCGCTGCTGCCCTGACCGTCTCAAGATGGAGTTCCACAAACGGTCTGCTGTGTCTCTGCTCGCCATTCCTTGCCTCCAGACGTACCCGCTTCAGCACAGACATCTGGCCGGAGCTTCGGTGTCTCACCTCAGATGCGCAGCAGTTCCACTTCGGCCTGTCTCCGCATTATCGCCGTCCAGGGACCAGGAGGGCCTCGCCGAAGCTCCCGCGACCCACGGTGCGGACCTGGCATGCGACCGCCAAGCTCCTTCACTGCGCACGTAGCTTCAGCTGCAGCGTCTCGAGTGGCCTTAACATAGTCTGACAGAGCACCGTTGGCGGTAGCCAGCTGCGCCTCTGCACAGCTCCGAGATTCGTGACCAAAACTTCCAGTCTCTCCTCTCCGGTCACGGCCGATCCGACGAGTCTTGCTTTGCGGCCGAGGAGCGCAGATCGCAGCGCTGGGCGCCGAGGAGCGCTTCGCTGGCCCCGGCAGGACTCCGGCGGAGGCCCTGGGCCTCGCGAGATGCCCGCTTCTAGCCCAGGCTGCTGCTTACAATATCATGCATATGATCTTGCACAGATTGCATAAATAGTTGTTCATACATATATACACATAAAGAACATATATATATATATATATACAGAGCCAGAATTTGGACAGCCAAGAGCTGAGATCTGCCCAAGGCCCGGCGCCTCATTTCGTTTCGAAGGGCCCAGTCGAGGCACAAAGAAGAGGCTACTCCTACTAGCTGCTTCGTGCTGCCTTGCTGTTGCTTCTTCTGGCATAATCCGACGGGATCCTACATGACCTCATTTCACGGTGTTGAAGGGTACACTGCAGAAAGGACCGCGTGATGCGAGGTTCCGCTTTCGAGTTGGCTCGTCTTTGCAGGGCTGTGCCTTCAAGGCGGTTTTCTTCGTGTAGCATGCCGCCAACTACCTATTTGGCTTGATGGCCGGAAGCTGGAGCCGATTATGAGGCCGAAGGAGGGCGCAGCAAATCCGCTCCTGCCCAAAACAGTTTTTCCTTAAAACCGGACGCGAAACTTCAAGCGTCGTCGGTGGGCTGGCCCGGCAACGTGCCTTCTTGTAAATCCAGTTGGCGGCATAGAAGCATCGATAGGCACCTTTGATCGCAATCACCGGTATGATGTTGCTCATGCTCGTGGACACAAAAGTGCTCGTGGACACACAACTCAATCGGATTGTGATACACGCGCCTGTGTACAGCTGCTAAGGTCCATCAAGTCTGGACGAGACTAACCAAGAAAGCAGGTGTCCGCAGGATTAGTCTCCTCCACCCACTATTCACTAAGCGCTGAGAACTCCACCCATCGACAGCACATAGAGGGTCACGCCTACGTCCTTCGAACGCCGAGATCACAAGAAGATGGGAATGAAGCATGCTTGCCAGTGGGTAGATCTGACACCCTGTCCTTCGCCAACCTATCCCTGTAGCAGAAGACATACTGGGGAACCTGCAAGCAACAACAGCTGGCCTCTGCTATCCTCGCAAGGGCTCAGGTCTCATGCTCAGCTGGACGCCATTGCGAAACCCTCGCAAAACTGCGAGAATGTCCATAGGATGTCGAAGGGTTGGTACCTGATAGATGTGTTTCGTAACGATGCTCCACAAGAGCTCGCTACTGCAGGTGGACCGTTGAACATGCACACTTTCGGAAACTACAACAACAAGGCAGATACATGCATACGTGGATGTCCTTCTGTCCGTCTCTGTCTGTCTGTCGGTCTCTGGCTGTCTGCGTCTGTCTGTCTGGGTATGTATGCATGCCTGTATGTATGTATGTATGTACAGGCGTGTATGTATGTATGTATGTATGTATAGCTGTCTATATATGTATGTATGTACGTATGTATGTAGTGTGTCTGCATGTATGCATGTATGTAGAGGCCGACAGCAGCAACTGCAGCAATCATAAGCCGACACAAAATTTTCAAAAGATGCGGTCCCACAGACTCACCGCTGGCCATGTATGCATGCGGGTCCCTTGTTGCAGCTGTCAGTTAATTGATGTAGTGTTATGTAGTGTGCGCATACACAAGGTGCTACCGCGACCAACAGTACTCCCTCGCGTACAACTATGCGGTGTTGCCAGACAGGGGCACGTCTCGGCTAGAAGAACGGCGCTGACGCTGCAAGGCACCAGGATGGCTGCTAAGCTGCAGGTGTCCTGCAACACACTCCGCAAGAACACAACAGATCAGGAAATGCAAACGATGCTACGGTAAGTCTGGGGGGCAGCGGTGATCGGGAGACCCACCATTGAGGGTGTCAAGCAGGCTTCGATTGACGAGTTTATGACTTGGAGTGACGACGACCACTTCTTGGGCCACCACCAGTACAATGAAGCGGAAAGGGCGTGATTAGGTGACAAGCAAATAAGCTATCCAGCTGGTTCATTGCTGACCTTTTGGCGCTCGTACGTGGCATCAAGCTTGTAGAAAACCGCCAGCACGATGATCGATGTGACGATGTACCTTGCAGCAGCCAGCTAGGTTGCAGAGAACACCTCTGTCGCTTGAATCAGGGCACGTGATTTTGAAGAACACGAGATAGAAGGCTTGCGTCTTGTCCTGAGCACTAGCAATGTAAAACTTGTCACCATCACCATCAACACTACTAAGAGGTGGATACGACGGGTTTGTCAGTAATAGTTGCAACTGATGGTAAACAAAGCCATGATAGCAAGAGTAAGAAGCATCGCTATAGTAGACGTATTGCTGGCAGTGACAGCCGTATCGCAAGCAAAGCCTTTGTAATGTGCAGTATTCCAGATACTGGCACAACATGCTCATAAAGAGGACAGCTGGTGAAAGAGTCTGATGAACTGTTGTGCCAGGATAATTGCTGATGCTCTGCTTCACGATATTTCTGAGCTCAGGGCTAGCAGATCCAGGTATCTGGCAATGACGAAGACATTGAAACATGCTTCTGTGCCCGAGCACGATCCGAGCACTATCCACATCCAGGCACGATTCTGGCTCGTGGCAGTTCTACCAGCAGCGCATTTCCGTCGCGAAAGCATATCAGAATCCGAGGCTGATTCTGACTTGCAAGCCCACTTACCAAGACGCCCACTGGTACCTAGAGCCCGCCTTGTCACGAACACAAGGCAATAGAGAATCTGCGTGCTGCGCGATATTCCTCCGTGGAAGCTTTGAGATGAGCACAGAAGCACATGCTACAGAGGTCCGGTCGAATGAACAGAGATTGCAAGCAGAAATAACAAGCATCACATCTCCTGAACAAGAGCGGTTCTTGGCCAGAGTTGCCAGCAGCGCGAAAACACCTGCGTTGACGCAACTGCAACAGGCAAGCGGCATTGGGCGCCTTTGCTTTCATTTCTGCTCTCTCCATTAAGCACGAGTGCGCTGCGGCCGCCTAAGCAGATGCTACCCTCGGCGTGTAGTCAAGCTGAGCCGAGACGTCTCATTCGAGATATCTCATTGGGCTTCAATCCAAGCTCCTTTGGAGCGAGATCCAGGCTCTGGGATTCATTAACCTGCGAACGCCAAACGCTGTCTTTGGCCAGTACACCCTCCGAAGAAGCAGCTGTCGACCTGCTATAGTCACACAAACCACCGAGGATGATGACTTTGCTGCCATGCCGCTATGTCTATGTCTCAATCATAGCATGCAGAATTCAGCGTTCGGCTCATAATGACAATGGCTTGCCCGCGGGCAAGTTGCCATTGAGATTCTTGTCAGAAGAATTGGCCTTGGCAAGTGGGAAAGGAAGTGGACAGCATGCAATCCGTGATGCGCATAATACTGTAGCCTGGTGCAGCATTGCAGGGATGCTGCAAAGCACCCTGGCTGAGGATCGCTTAAGGCAGTCCGAGCAAGTATTTGCAACAAACCTCAGCATTCTAGTGGTGCTGCTGCGTGGCTGAGGCATCAGCACTCCTCCGATTGCCGCGATGAGTGCGAGGGCCTCAGTGCAGTCATTACGGGGCGGCCTGCCGTCACAATTCTGCTCGGCTTCCTGCTGGAATCCACCAAGTCACCCGAAGCCTCTCAGCAGGACTGGGATTTGCCCACCCGACCCTCTACAGGCTGTGAACTTCGCCACTGCACCTGCATCTCGTTGAGCTCTGGCCTGCGACGTGCGTGCCCAGGGCCTAAAGGCCTAAAGAGCTCGTTCACGTGAGCGACTCGACAGTTCACCGAGGTTCAGGCAGCTCGAGCGTCAAGTTATCGTTGCTCAGAGCCTGGGGCGTGTCTTTGAGCTGTCGAACATGCCGCCCCTGCTACGATTCGACGGCTTCTCTCAGCCGTTCAACGCCAGGGCCGGCACCTTCTCCTCTGCCGGCAAGCAGAAGCTGAATCTCCTGTCGGGCTATCTGCCTCGCACAATCCTATGGGCAAGCGCAGCTGCAAGCCAGCAACACCTTGTACTTCTTGGGGTGCCTGCACGCGGTCCGTGCTCATGTTCAGACAACTACACCAGCCCACCACAAAGCGGCGCCGGAGAGTTCATTTCCGGTGTGGAAAAATGCATAGGAACTTTCGAGCACTACATCGTGCGAGTCAACGTCTGAACCAAACGGGTTCACCTTTCGTCGTGCACAAAAAGGGATGGCCTTGCATTTTCGCCAGTGGGCTGGCACTCGACATGGTGGCCTCATTGTCCAACAATTGTTGCAAAGCAGTGCGCAACAGTCCCGAAGCTTGGACTCTGGAATGGTTTCTGGCTGCCATGGATTGGCACAAAGCAAAACGACTCGCAAGCGGCAGTTCAGGGGAGCGGACAGGCGTTTCCCCTCCGGCCAAGAAGCCGGTGAAATGCAGGAAGTCCTCAAGAGCCGCCGAATCCTAGTCTTAGGCGGGAAGCAATTTGCCTCCAACATCGCCTGCTCCGGCGCAGAGCGGAGAGCTTTGCAAATCAAGAACCGCAGACTACAGGGGTACATCTAAGAAACTGCCTCAGTCGAGACCGGAAGAACTGACGTAGCCCTCGTGTGTTCTTAAACAGCCCTTGCGAGGTCATGACTTCAGAGCTTAGCAATATGAGAAGACCCGGTTTATTGCTCGGCGATTGAATTTGTGGACAATCAGCTGAAAGGCTTGGGGGGGTGTCAGTGCGGGAGGATGCCATGCGGGCTGAACAGTTCCTGGGGCGAGAAATTCGGACTCATGTACTGCATGGTTTCACGTACCTGGAAGCAGCTTCATGTAGAGTAAATGTGAAAAGTGCGCTGCGAGTTTATGACATCTGGGATTTGTGGCTAGGTGCGGTTGCGATAGAATGCGGAACATCTCTCAGATTAGTCGCCGTTGCTTGCAATCGTCGGCGGTTACAACCCCAATGCCCGCAACAACACGCAAGGCTCTTCGCACCCTGAAGGTAAGGTGTGCACGCGAAACACGGTCTCTCCTCTAGCAGCATCGCATGACTCCGCCACTGTCTGTGAAGGAGCATCACCTGGCGACTGTATCGGGGTGTCAGCAGCTCTGGCCCTGCACCTGCGAACCCAAGGATAAGCGTTAACCGCCCGCAACACACCGAAGGCCTTGCCTGGCACATCAGCGTGGTAAGATCGATGGCCTACCAGCAGCAGCTGTGGTCCATCTCCCACGCTGTAGGCTTTTGCTGGAATTGTGCCTGGCCTTTGCCGGGCCATGAATGCGGCAACAGCCTGCGATGAACTCCTCCACATCGATGGAGCCTCGTCTATGCTGCAGCAGTTTCCAGGTTAGTCATACATACGACTACTGCTTGGCTCATGTCATGGTGCGTCTTGCGGCCTTCGTTGTCGATGTCTAGCAGTCTGAACAGACCTTGCCAAGTCTGGCCGAACAGTCAGTGAGTGAACACACCAGTCCACAATCCAAGACATGTGCAGGTGTTGGCACACGGCCTCCAGACAAGATTTGGTGCTGGCTATCGCTGTGCGCTCTTTGGCGCCAGCGATGGCGACAATAACTTGCATGGTTCTACCTGCACCTTGCTGTGGTGCCTTGAAACGCTGAGGCCCGGCTCGCTGCCAGCTTTAGTCCTCGCCTCCGATGTCTAGTATGGCGGCTACCATCTCAGTAATTTCTCGCCACAGTCCCATGGAGAACTCGTGGCCAAGTCCTTTCATCGCATTAAACACGACCTTAGCACAGGCGCCAGAGGCCGAGATTGCCAGGAGAGAAGAGCATTGTTCGCGAAACAATCTTTTACCCTTTGCACAAACTGCGCTTGGCCGAACTTCCGCCCGTCTAGTCTAGACAAACCCGCGCAGTCTGATTGCTTGTCTGAGTGACAGCTCGGTAGCCATTGTTTCCCAACATTCGCCACTGCTCGCGAGCAACTTCGACTGGTACGACCTCATCCTGCCAAGGGCCCCTCATGCAAACATTGATACGGAGCAAAACATCACGGACAAGTCCTCCAAGCCGTGCAACACCACGATCAGCTGATCCTCTCCTGTGGCGGCCTAGATCATTCGAACTCGCCACTTGTATGAGTCAGATCACCTTTCGGTTCCGCACCTGTGATGGCAGCCCGCTGGACGGATACGCACTGGTGCACCTGCGTCCGGGTTTGCTTTGCGTGTTCATCAGGCTTCTTGTGAAAAGCTTTTAATCAGTGTCGCTATTGTGCCGATTTCTGGAAGCAGATCTCCCACATTATATGGCAAGAGCTGACACCACCATGCTCGTGGGACGAGGAGGATAAGGACGATGAAGACCACGATCGGACGAGATGATGCTGGTGGTGGTGCTGCTGCTGCTGCTGCTGCTGCTGGCGCTGGCGCTGGCGCTGGCGCTGGTGCTGGAGGTGGTAGGGGTGGTGGGGGTGGTGGGGGTGGTGGGGGTGGTGGGGGTGGTGGGGGTGGTGGGGGTGGTGGGGGTGTTGGGGGTGGTGGGGGTGGTGGTGGGGGGTGTGGTGGGGGGGGTGTGGTGGGGGGTGTGGTGGGGGGTGTGGTGGGGGGTGTGGGGGGGGGTGTGGTGGGGGTGGTGGGATGATAACGATGATGAAGATGCAGATGAAGTCGTGTGTCCACCTTATTCAGGGTATGCCGTACAGCATCACAGCACCATTCTCGTCCTACACCCCTGCGACTGGTGCCAAGGCACAGGAGACCGGCAAGTCTCGTCGAAGGTAGTGCCAGCAGTGCAGCAGTGCCTCCTGCTCCGAAGCCACCCACAACCTCAACTATTGGGACATAGCTTTAGGATTAGGGGCACACTTGGACTGATGCCTAAAAATCTGCCCCACTGCATTTACGTAGATGACTTGGTGAAACGTCGAGGGACTTCAAGCCGGCAGCTGTTACATGTGCATTGCAAGACAAGAAGCCGTCTTCTCAGCTGCATATCCAGCCATCTTGGCCTTAGCTCCACGTCTTCGGTGATTCTACTTGCTCTACTTGATTCCGGACTTTTGGGACCGCGCTTCCTGTAGCAGAGATGTGACTTCGGCTAGAAGGAAAGCGCCATCCCTCACCTCGGATTGACATGAAGCGAAAATCACAAGATCAACAATTCCTTACTTTTAGGGGAATGGCAGGCCAACGGACAGTCTATAACTTATAAGCTATAAGCTCTTTTGCCAGATTGCCTTGTCCTTGTCCTCAAGCTGCCGCAGCAGTAGATTCACACCAGGCAAGGAGTCGTTCATCCTGGAAAGCAAAAGGGAAATGTTCGACCGGTCTGCAATCGAGCACAAAGGATGTGATTTCAAGATGGCACGGGCCTGGGTTCATTCCGCAGATAGCCCGACAACAAAATGCCTGCTAAATGCAGGCACCCACAACACATCGCAGATAGCCCTCTAGCAGACAAAGCCGTGGAAGCTCCCACCCGATTGAGGACCGACGGTTGCACCGGGTATGCTCGAGCTTCGGCTCTGCAACTCAGACACAGCGGAGGACTCACTCGCGTGATACCACCTGTTACATATCGTTCTCTAGATTGCGTGATGGATGCTCCCACATGCAGAAGATCTCGTCGTGTTTCAGGGAGTCGATGTGCATCAGAGGAAGGCGACTTCAGCAGGAAATGACTTACAACGAAGCACTGCGCAAGAGTAGCAGTTGGAGCTACAGGCAGAATCCGGCACCCTTTAACAACGAGATGGAGCTTGATCTACGACGATGATGATGGTGAGGAATGAAAGGTGGAAAGCCTGGAGTGGTCAGAGGTTTAATATGCAGATGTCCTCTTGGTGACCAACATCTCGTCGACTCGGCCGACGAGACTTGCGTCGTGCAGCCATACGAGACAGCCTCTCGACTCCGTCCTTGGCTAGAAACCGGGCTGGGACCGCCAGGCCGCTACAGTACTGGTAGGAGCTCC